CCGCTGATTGCGGTGCTGCGCAGACTCCGGCTGGGGTCAGTTACGGTAGCGGCTGATATCGAGGAGATTTTCACGCAGGTCAAAGTCCCCGAAGGGCAAAGGGATGCTCGACGGTTGTGGTGGTGGCCGGATGTAGACCTAGACGGACCTGCTCAGGAGTATCGGATGACGGTGCATCCATTTAACGGGATATCCTCTCCTTTCTGTTCGAACTTTGCGTCAAAATAAACCGCGAATCAATTTGCTCAGCATTTCGAAACCTCGGTGGGCTCCTGTGTTACTGCTCATGGCAGGGTTCAAGTTGACCAAGTGGATGTCCAACAGTCGCCATGCACTCTATTGCATCCCAGTTGATGAGCGGGCGCCGAGTCTCCGTCAATTGCAGGGGAGTCCGTTACCAACAGATAGAGCAAATGGTATGCAATGGGACTCAGAGAAAGACGAATTTTTGTTCCAACCCCAGTTACCTGAGACGACAGCGACTCGCAGAGGAATTCTGTCTTCGTTGGCCAGCCTTTACGATCCAATGGGGTTCATCGCACCGTGGCTACTACCGGGCTAGATTCTGCTGCAGGACCTGTGTCGAAAAAAGGTCACTTGGGATGAGACCCTATGCAAAGAGGATCACAAGACCTGGCAAAGCTGGTGGCTGGGCCTGTCCAAGCTGGGCGATATACGACTCCCTCGTCCCATACCAGGAATGCATAAAGGAGAGCACAGTGATTTACACGTTTCTGGGGACGCGTCGGAGGTGGGATAAGGGGTAGTGGCCTACGGTTGCTCGTCCCGGTCAGGAGGAAGAAGGCATAGCAGTATTCTGTTCGCATAGGCCAGGGTTGCCCCTCTAAAGTCAGTCTCAATACCCCGGCTAGAACTGGCCGCGGCAGTATTAGCCGTGGGGGTATCGAAGGTGATCAAAAGATGTTTTAACTCAATTGAATGAACCGTAACTTACTGGACTGATTCCGCTGTAGTTCTTCACTATGTTAGCAATTTAGGGACGCGCTTCAGCACATTTGTTGCCAACCGGTTGGCTGTAATTCACGAAGAAACGGCGGTGTCTCAATGGCGGCACATAAAATCCTGTGACAATCCA